GTTTTAAAATGAAAAAAGAAGGAGAAAAGAGAGAAGTCTTTTGTTCAGAGAATTGTAATATTTGCAACTTGACTTAAAAAACCACCGGTTTATAAGAATCTTACACCGGCTGCCGGTACAGACCCGAATATCTGTCAAGTTTCCGCTAAACAGTTACCCCAGAGCTAGATTTTCCCGTCTGTACCAACAGCCGGTGTTTGATTTTTTTTCTTGCATATTACATGTACAGAAATTATGAAAACTGATATATATATTACTTACTTTATTCTTATAGTAGCGTATGAACATACAACTTCATTCATAAAGGAATCAAAGCACTGAATGTACTGATGGGGAGGCTATGAGAGAATGTTTCAGACTTATAGTTTCTTTTCTTTTTGCTTAAAATATGCTACCAAAATAAAAAGATATGCACATTGCGCTATTTATCCTTACTGTTGTGTTCAACCATTCATATATATGGTTAATGTGGTTGACTATTCATTTTGTTAATATTCCAGAACATTTCATTGAGGTCTACATTCGGACTGTTAATCATGCAAATTTTGAAAAACCTAAACTGTCAATAATAAATGACATACCAGCAAGTATGACGACTGTTCATTATCAGATAACAATAACATTTTACAACTGACGGTTCCTTATCAAAATATTCTAGGATTGTTCATTATAAATATACTTTATGTCATTTTAATATTATTGAATGATAATAACAAACTGCAAGTGATGCAACATTTTTATTGAACATAAAAATTATACACGTTTAGATGTACCATAATTGAGATCAATAAGATACTGTCTTGTGATGAGTATTAATATTCATGCTCTACGGACAGAAGGTTGTCTTCTCCAGAAGCAAATCTCGAATAAAATCACGTTTCAGAAAATTATTCCCATTTCATTACTGACGGCGTCGGATAATATTAAAGCTAAATATTTCTTGAAAAAATACATATCTGCAAAGCTTATTCAAAACTGAATCAACCTAAGTGAAAATTGATCAGGAAGTTATATCTTCTTTTTTTACCACCAACACTCAACCAACTTCTGGTAGTTAATTGTATTTTTTAAACCTCACTATATTGAAATATATACTGCGGAAAATCTGTTGTTAACAGGGTGTGCGGTTATTACGTAGGGTTTTCCCTGTCGACTATTTCCCGCAAATAGATGAGAACATCGAAGCCGTCAGTGCTATGAATGGTGTTTATAAATGGCGTGTTTTGGAAGTTTTTGTTGAAACTTCTCCAAATCCCTCAAGAGGCGTGCACGTCGCGAAGAAGGCACACGGAAGGTCATAGTCAAGTCATCATAAGTACCAGAGTTGATTGGTTGACCTGTCGTGACTTACTCTGGAGGTTTGGCGCTAATAGATGCCGTTTTTGTTGTCGTCAGTCAGAAACTTGATGCCTTGACGGTATTGTCGTCTCCTTTACCACCAAAGAACGAAGAATGGGCTTCCAGGAAGAATCTGCTTGAAAAAGACGTCCCAGATGCTATAATCTCGAACATATGGTTATTCCGGCGCCGAGTATAAATAAACTTAAAACACACACACTTTTGTTGAAAACAAAACAAAAAAACAACAACACATTTTCTGTAGTAATTTTTCTAGTGTTGTAAAATGAATAAGAAATTCCTCTTAGCCGCCGATTATTTTTAGAACACAAACATAAAAGTTCTTTTTTTTTATTTTTCAAATAAACATTAATCACTTCAGCGCGCGCAAATATCGTTTTCAAATTAAAGTTTCGTAAGATATGTTAATGACTTCCCGATGCTCGACTGTAAGTAATTTGTATATGTATGCGGTTTTTTTTTTAATTAAAGCTTCTTATTCTATAATATTTTTTATGCATCTCATAATCTGTATTGAAAATTTGAATTTTATTACACGTGGACTATCAAATTATGACAATGTATGATGTATGCCCTAGAATTGAATAAACTTTCTAATTGCACAATACGGGGTCATACTGATCTTTGCGTCTTTCTCTGAAATAATTATTTCCTTGTTAAAACATATTTGACCACATATTTAGAACTGTCAATTAACTGTTCACTTTACTTCCGATTTTTGTTGTACGGAAACACATGTTTCTATTTGTGTTTTCCAATCAATTCGAATCTATAATCAGTTTAATGGGATCACCACCGGGTAAACGACTACTAGGTACTTTGGTCATGTTTTTTACCCCAAATATTTGAATGTTTCTATTGGGATTAAAATGAGCATAGTTAACTAAACAACTGGTTGTATAAATCCCTGACCTGTCTTATTCTAATTATGAGATTAGTGAATATATAAGGCTTTCACTACAAAATATTCCTAAACAAAAGAGCACATGTTTAAATTTATTCCTATACAAATAAAAGGTCAGAGTAGGGATCTCTCAATTGCCAAAGATACCTTTATGTTAAAAGTTTGATTAATGAATTATGTAAGATGAAAATATAAGTATTGCTTTTTTTATTTTGCTAATGTAAAATGTAATATTGTGCTGGCATTTTGTCGGAGGGTCCTTATATATATAGGGGTTTTGTAGTTAAAAAGTTTTTTTTCGGCGATAATGGTTCAAGAATATAATGTTTTCAAACTATATGTTCATCACCATCAGTGAATTTTTAGTTAAATGTATGCAAAATATTTACTAACAGCTATATGATATAGCGGTTTATGAGCGTTTTCCGCGTACAGCCTCCTGGGGTGTACTAATAAGTTAGTTTTCCTTAGTTATCACGCAAGCATGATCCATGTCTCTGATGTAAGCGACAGTTTACAATTATTTGTCGTTAAAAATATTAAGGACTATTAATGGTTTATAACAACAAAAGAACATGCATGATATTGAGAATACGGTGTTGCAACGTTCTAGTTAATGACCCGTCATAAACAGTTGGTCGCTGCGTAGTAATTGGAAAATTGTTATCAAAAATAATAAAGAATATTTGCCACTAAATTAAAGCATTTACTTATAAATTTTCATTTATGCTTTTTGTTAAAAAAAATATTGATAAAGTTATTATTTTGAAGGGTTTTCATACCAGAACTATTTATTACAGACGTACGTATGCCTAAACCTGATTACCGCGGCAGTATGACGTCACGGAGTAGTGATTTAAACAAAAATCAAGAATTTTTCAGAGAATTATTATCTTTACAAATTGCAGATATGAAATTAAAGAATGAAAATATTTTCATATTGTAAATGTCTGTGATGAGTGATGAGTCAGCTTAGAAACAATCAAGGTACTATTTTTTGACCTGATTACCGCGGCAGTAAGATTTGACAGACAGTTATTAACATTGGGTCGGCATAGCCTCCCCAAAAATGACGTCATCCTAAGAACGCGATTCATTCATAAAAAGGCGCACGTCAATGACGTCATTTCAAGCACGCAACTTGTCTTACATGGGGGTGTAAGACAGAGTTTTCCAGCACCGGTGTAAACGGTAGATAATCCTGTCTGAGATGCAAGAAATATATATATTTAATATATTCAACCGGCGTTTGCATATTTTACATGTTCAAACGATGTTTGCAAATTAGACAATACGGGGAATAACATGGGATTATGTCAAATATAACTTGCTAATGGAATTACAAATGAGTTAGGGACGAAAATGGCATTTAAAAAGACATATCCTCTATTATTTTACCTCAACATGTTTTTCCAGTGAAAAAATTGATTGGAAAAAGTAAAACCTATCGGCGTTTGCTTTGCGAAAAGAACATTTGTGTCGAAGTGTTCTAAAAAACTACTAAAGTCTAGTAATGACTACTCACATGAAATAAAAGCTTAATTTACGCTGGGTCCTACGGTCTATATCTTATTTTTGTGCTCGCAGTGGAAAAAAAGATATCTGCAAAATATTTGTCCGTATTTGCTGAAATTTTAAATCGGCGTTTGCATTTGTGGTCACGTGACAAAACTTGTTTATCCAGGGTAAAACTGTTCACTAATTAGGGGAGAAAATGTGTAAGGGGCTAGATAGCTCAATCGCTACAGCCGCGGTACATTATTCTGTGGGTCATAGGTTCGAGTTCTGGTCAAGCTGAAAGTTTTTCTCATCCTGTGACTGCATATAACCCCGAGTTTAATTCACTATGCTCTATAAACATCAGGAAATTCAAGGACACAAATCAATATAGTGGGGGAATATGTTGTGGTTTAGAACTGTTTCATTATTAAAGAGAAAATGTGTAGCTGGCTGAATAGCTAAGTTGGTCTTCTGACAGTCATGGGTTCGAGTCATGGTCAGGCAGTTTCAGTCAGGGTTTAGAAGTGGTTTTTCAACTGACACATGTTTGATTCATTTAACAGATTGTATTAAATTTGAAATGGACAAAGGCAGTATTGCATGATACTTTTAGATCTACAAAAGGCATTTAACAGTTGATTACACTATATTGCACATGAAGAAGTTCTTCTTCTTTTTCTTCTTCATGAAACTTCAAGAATCTGCCATAGGTAATGACATTTTTATTATCTCTGATAGACAGCAGCTGGTGGGTGTGGCTGGTGCTCATTCTACTACTGCTCAGAATACAATTTACCTATGTTGTCCCCCTGAGGTTCATTTTATGCCCTCTTTTATGTCTAATATATGTCAATGACATGTCTGCAACCCTTAGAGCAATAACCTTTTATTATATGCTGATGACTCAGGTATCCTTGTATCTGGTAAAATAAATCTGAAGAAATTCTCTCTTATGGCATGAGTCTTATAAGATTGGTTAATTGACTATAAATTGTCTTTGCATCTTGGAGTCTAGTCTTTTTGGTTTAAGTTTCAACTTAAACTGGGCCTAGCCTCCAGGTCACATGTAATGGTACCGCTATAAAGTACACATCTTTTGTTAAGTATTTAGGTGAAAAACTTGATCAAGTTTTTTTGGCGTCGCCTTTGATGCTTTGAATCAATGCTTTTCTTGTTATACTTTGAAAAAGCTTTGAAAAGAAAAACACAAGTTAACAAAGTTTTTATCAAATTTCAGCGGAACTGAGATTTACTGTAAAACTTGGTAGCAAGGACTTTGTTAGAATTAATCACGATGTTGATATACCATGCTGTGCTGAAGGTTATGAAAATATCACATGGTACAAGGAAGTCAATGGAAATTGGCAGCCTGTCCCATCAGAATCAGAAGTACTGCATGATGGACAGGTACTCCAGTTTCTTGATATTCAAGACACTGATGCTGCAACATACAGATGCTATGTTGTTGGACAATCAAAAGTTATCTATCATGATACACAAATAGTTGTTGAAGGTAAGAACTCTCTCTTTGAATGTTTTTTATTTATTACTTTAAAAAGATTTTGATATTTACATAATCTTGTACAATATAAACCCTGTACCACCCATTATGAGCACTGATAAAAACTTCTCATTTTTGTGCTCCCCACTATAGGTTCCGCATTTAGATTTGGCCTTGTCTGTTGATTTGTTGTTGTGTGCGTTCTCCTGTTGTCGCATGTAGCCCTAAAATTGCTTGAGGTAGAGTTAACAATATTAACAGAAATGTTGATCAGCATGTGAAGCTGTGCACCTGGGGATTTGCTGGTTGATAAATACAGTTTTGTCACAGTTTTTGCCATTGGCTTAGTAAAAATTGGCATTTTAATACGCCTGTTTGCAAAATGGATTGTATTATAGTTTCCCCCCTGGCGGACAGGCTGGTGGCTGGGCCACATCCAATTTTTGTCCTGAGCACATCTCCAACACGCATTGAGGAAACTTCATAGAAATGTTCACCAGTATGAGAAGCTGTGTTGCATACATGAATCAGTTCTATAGATCAAAGGTCAAGGTCACACTTATAGATCATTGAAAAAAAATGCTTGACAAGAGCAAAACTTCTAAATCTCATAGAGGGATTTAAATATAACTAGGCACAAATGTTCACCATTGTGAGTGGAATGTCATGTGCAAAATTAAGGTCCCTGCGGCCAAGGTCAAGGTCATATATAGGGGTCAAAGAAAGATAAAAATATGAAAATGTGTATTTGGACCATTTAGTCATCATTTATCGAGGGATTGATACATAAATGGTCATTATCATGACTAGGGGTATGAAACATTTAATTTATGTTAATATATGCAAGGTCAAGGTCACTAAAGGTGATAACAGATAAAGATTTTGTCCAGAGCATATCTTTTACACATATGGAGGGATTCTAATGAAACTTTATAGAAACGTTCACCACTATGAGAAGCAGTGTCATGTGTTGAACCATGTCTCTAGGTCAAAGGCCAAGGTCACACTAAGGGTCATTGAAAAACGCATGCATAGAGGGATTTCAATATAACTTGGCACAAATGTTCAACATTGTGAGGTGAAGTGTCACATGCAAAATTTATGTCCCTGCAGCCAAGGTCAAGGACACACTTAGAGGTCAAGTTCAAATAAGATATGAAAATGTGTATTTTGGATCATTTTGTTATCATTTATAGAGGGATTGAACACAAATGATCATTATCATGACTATACGTGTGAAACATGTATGTAAGGTTTTTATATATATGCAAAGTGAAGGTCACTAAAGATGATTAAAATATAGAGATACAAGAAAAACAATAAAAGTGGAACAAACAATCAACACAGGATAAGTTTTAAGGTTTATTTAATGATGATAACCGACGTTTCGACTCTCACGAGTCTTCATCAGGGTTATAAAATATAGAGATGTTCAACCCTTTGACAAGCACTGTCATGTGCATGAACTAGAAATCTTTTGGTCAAAAGTCAAGGTCACACTTAGAGATCATTTAAAGAGGCTTTTCGGAGCAAAACTTTAGAAGGATTTAAAATATAACTTGGCACAAATGTTCACCATTGTGAGATTAGGATTTAAAAATATAACTTGGCACAAATGTTCACCATTGTGAGGCTGTGTAGCTTGCAAAATTAAGGTCCCTGCGGCCAAGGACAAGTTCAACATAGGGGTTAAAATTTAGGTCAATAATTTAGGTTAGTATATGCCAGGTCAAGGTCACTAAAGATGATAGTCAAGATCACTAAAGATGATAAATTAGAGATTTGGTTCAGAGCATATCTCCTACATGGAGGAATTCTAATGGAACTTCATACAAATGTTCACCACTATAAGAAGCAGTGTAACGTGCATGAACCAGGCCTGCAGGTAAAAGGTTGAGATCACTCTTATAGTTCATTGAAAAATGCTTGTTTGGAGTCGAACTTCTACATTCACTGGGGATTTTAATGTAACCTGGCACCAATGTTCACCATTACAAGGCTTATTGCACAGTAAGGCTCCCACGTTTACTTCTTTTGATAAACGTTGACACGATTTTACCAAAAACTGAAAATGATACTGTTTAAACGGTGGTGTTTTTTCTAAGTAGTATACATTAACCCTGAATTCAAGTTGCTAAATGATTACTTACTTTCTATTTTTAATACATAATAATCATGGTTTGTTACAAGGGAGTCAGCACAAATTTTCTACACTGTATTCCTGTTTCACTCTTTTTGAAAGATCAACTTTACCAAAAAAGTTCTTTGTCACAAAGCATTTATTGCACGGTGATTCTGCGTGAAGGTTGTGAAATGCCCTTATTCTGTTTTTATGCTCCCAGAAAAATTTCGGGGGAGCATATAGTCGGCGCCTTGTCCGTCTGTCCGTACGTCGTTCAAACCCAGAGGAACTTGTGTGACTTGGAGAAACAATGGGTAACAGTGATCCTATTCATTCCGTTTTTACTTGTGTGTCTTT